CCCCTGGCGCCAGCCAAGTCCCTTATGATAAGCCCTTACATGCATAAATGACTCACAGTTCTCAAGAATGTCAACCTGCTTCACCACCCAGCAGCCAGAAAGTTGTATTATAAAAATAATTAGAAAACAGTCAATCCTAGAAGGCTACAGAGTCCCTGACTCACTGACCAAAGAGTTGGTTCCACAGTTTTCTGATGAGAAAAATTGTTCAAGCATAAATACCTCATAATACAGGAGCTAGTGGGGCCATGAAAAAACAGTACATTCTTTTCTGCACTATGATGTGTCATCTCACCAGGTGCAGTGTTTCTGGGGGACAATTTGGCAACATCTATTAAAATATAATTACACAGAGGCTGGGGATGTAGCTCAGTGATGGTATTCACCTTGTATATGCAAGACCCTGGGTTTAATCCCCAGCAACAAAATAAAATTTAAAAGTATGCAAAAACCATCTCCTAGGAATTTATTCTAGATATGTCTTTGGATCAAGATAAACCCTACTAGGGTTTCTGTCTCAATTCTTCTGACATTTGGGCTGGAGAATTGTGGAAGGTTGTTGTGGGTTGTGTTCTGGGTTCTGGTGTGATAGTTATGGGGTACCAAGACATCTGATCAAGCATTATTCTGTATGTGCCTGTGAAGGTGTTTCAGGATGAAATTGGTGTTTGAACCAGCAGAATAGTTGTCTTATTCATTTGTGTTGCTGGTGGCTTATAAACAACAGAAATTTACTTCTCATAGTCCTGGAGGCTGAAAGTTCAAGATTAAGGGGCTGGCAGACTGGTAAGGGCCTGTTCCCCATAGACAGCACCTTCCATGTGTCCTCAATTAGCAGACCCGGGTGAACAAGCTCCTTTGATGCTGTCATAAGGGCACTGATCCCATTCATGAGGTTCCTGCCCCGTGACTTAATCACCTTCCCAAGCTCCCAACTCTAATACCACCATAACCCTGGGGATTAGGATTTCAACATATTAATTAGGGGCGGGGCACCACCTTCAGTCCACAGCACTGAGTAAAACCAATGGCCCTCCCTAATTTAGAGAGGCTACAGCCACCAATTTGAAGGCCCAAATGCAACAGAAAGGCTGACCTTCTCCTGAGTAGGGGAATAACCCCTGCCTCCAGCCTTCAAACTGGGACATGCCTTTTTCTTGGCTCTTACTGAGTCTCCACCTGCCAGTCTTTGGACTGGGATACATGGCCAGCTTCCCCCAGCTTCTAGGCTGCTAACTCACCCTGCAGATTCTGGAACTTGTCACGCCCTGACTGTGTGATAATAAATCACACAGTCTATTGGTTCTCTTTCTCTGGAGAACCCTGAAAAGTATAAAATGTGAGCAGCATCCTTGATATTTGCCTATTAGCACCCCCACCACAGTTGTGACAACCAAAAATGTCTCTGAACAGATGTCCCCTGAGGGAGCCACCACTTACACACATTCCCAGGAAGGAAAGTCCAATTCACTTGATTCAGGCCCAGGGCAGGGAGGTAATGCATATTATCTTAGAGAGGGGATGACTAGGAGCTATGATGGGGGACAGGGGATGAACTTAAGGCTGATGAGAAGAGACCAAGAGAAAAGACCTTTAGGGAGAGGGAGGAGCAAGTCCAAGGCCCCAAGGAAGGCACAAGCCTGAGATCCCTAGAGGCAGACACAGGGGAAGGCAGAACAGAAGGGGAAGTGGGGGTTTTCTCCAAGTTCAACGAGAAGTGGTGGAAGAACTGTAAGATGGGAGATAAGATTTAATGTACATTTTGACATGACCACACAGTTCCCCAAGGAGGAAGAACCAGCACTAGCCAGGCCCCCGACCAAGAGTAAAATGGCACAAACCCCAATAGGCAGCAGCAGGGCTTAGCAGTGACCACTAGAAACCCCTTAGGTTAGTACCCTGGGCTGGGCCACCCTTGCAAGGAAGGGATTGAATTCTTGTTCCCCAGGGTATGGAGACAGGGAACAGATGAGCATCCAACCACAACACAGTAGGATTAGGACTTTCTTACACCAGAGTTGTGGCACCAAGGTTAAGCCCACTGCACCGACAGACACACATGCCAAAGTACACATCAGAGGCGTGCCCTGTAGAGGTTTCTATAGGCAAACTGGAAACTACCTCCAAGCCATCAGCTGGGGACAGGTCATCCTGTGGTGCAGGATGGGGGATACATTTGAAGGAAAGGTGGAGAGATCCGAGGTGGCAAGAAAGACCTCCAGGTGCAAGACAGTGTGTAGAGCGCGGCCTCTGATAATAGCATTTTTAGAGTATACACTACACTCTTATGAATCTCAGAGCATTAAAGAGCAGGCTAAACTCTGAATCATTATGCAGAACAAAAGGAACACAAGCAAAATCCCATTCCCCAACAGAAAACAGATGTGTGGTTACCTGGGACCAGATCCGGTGAGTGAGAATATACATTTGTAACATTTTCCCAGGTGGTGCTGCTGAGCACCCCACTTTGAGAAGTACAACAGTAGTAACAGGTGACTTGCATGGGGCATACCCAGGCAGGTGCTTTTATTTATTTATTTTTTTTAGTTGTTTCTGGATCTTTTTTTTTATTTATTTGTATCAGGTGCTAAGAATTGAACCCAGTGCCTCACACAAACTAGGCAAGTGCTCTACTACTGAGCTACAACTCCAACCCCAGGCAGGTGCTTTTTGAAGCTGGTTACCTACACTATTTATTTAGTTCTTATACAACCTTATGAGGTTGGCACCATAGCTGTCCCATTTGTTGGTGAAGAAACTGAGGACGATACATTGAGTCATCTGCTCACATTCTCACAAGTAAGTGACGGTAGAGGTCCTAAGCTAGGCATCCTGGCTTTAAGGGTCTGTCTTCTTACACTGCAGACATACATGGCGTCTCCATTTTCCGAGGATACTGAGGCTCAGAGGAGTTAGAAAGAATTAGAATCTCAGTCTCCTTGCTGAACTGTTGCCTGTTGTCCACTGGGATACAGTTCATGTACCTGACACCTGCAGGATTAGGGCACTTGGAGAAAACTGTTGATGTGAGCTCTGTCCACATGGGCTGCAGAAAGCACCTAAAGAAAGAACACTCTTAGGATGAAACTCACCTATCCAAAACCAGAGGGTTGGTGAGGCCCTTTCAGCCTGTGGCCTGCATTCCCAGGTAAACTGGAGGCTTGCAGGGTTGATGGAGGGGACATAGTGCTTCCACCCCCCGCACATCACTTCCCTTTGAAACTACCAGGTAGCAGTCATGGCATTTGGAAAGAAATGATCCCATCCCAGCTCCTTGAGGGGACTCACATTAGCCTCAGCCATGGGCCACTCTCCACATGGCATTCCCTGATCCTGTTAGACAAGCAACCCAAGTCAAGCCAGAACTATGTCTTATGGATGGAGAGAAAGGAGCTGTCTTCTTGGATAATGTGCCATGTGAGACCAGAGTAGCTCCGGAAGCCAGTTTGTAACTTTTCCATCCTCAGCATGAAGCTATGTGGAGAGGAGGGCAGAGAACTGAGCAGCCATAGGGTCATGTGTTAGCATCCTATTACCATAACAAAATACCTGAGATGATTTTTAAAAAGTTTATTTTGGCTCACAGTTTTGGGGGTTCCAGGCCATGACCAGTTGCTCTCCTTTGCTTTGAGCCTGTGGAGAGGCAGCACATGTGGCAAGAGCAAATGGCAAAGAAAAACTGTTCACCTCATCAGTCAGGAAGCAAAAGAGAAGGAAGAAAGGGCTAGGGTCACACAATCCCTTTGAGGACACACAAGGACCTCCCACAGGACCCCAGCTCCACGACTCTACAATTTCCCAACAGGGTCACCACGGGGACCAAGCCTTTAACACCTGGGCCTTTGGGGAACACTTATCCAGACCTCAGCAGGCCATAACCCTGAACAAGCTGCTCTTGGAGGTAGACTGCCTTGTGAAGATTCAAATACATACACAGATTTTCTTGACTGAAGCCAGAGTTCAGTTACTCGTAACCAAAAGCACCCTAATGGGCATAAGTGTCTCAACCTTAAGGTGAAAGGAGTGATATCCGGGTGATAGGGACCAGTACTGTAGTTACAACTGGGAAAAGAGGAAGCCTGATCCCCCAGTCTCCTTCTAAAGTACCTCCTGGATCAGAAAAAGGACAATAACCTTGATTTTGAAGAGCCATGAGGCTGCAGTTTCAGAGAAAGTTTGTCAACTAGTGCTGCCTTCCTTCTCAGAGCCACTGCTTTGAGAAGTGGCCACTAAACTGAGGGCAGGAGTCAGAATGTCAGGATTGGCTGCTAGGAGCCAAGGAGATCCTCAAGCCTCAGGTGGATAGTTTCAATGCTTTTTTTTTTCCACTGCATACTTTTGATGTTCATACATGCTACAGCTTTTTCTGTTTGTTTGTTTGTTTCAACCAACTAGTATTCATACCACATTGTGTTTTACACATCCATCAGTTGACAGGCAATTGAATTTCTCCATTCATTGGCTATCATGAATAATAATGTCATATACATTCACGTACAAGCCTCTGAATGAATGTCATGTTGATTTCTCTTGAGAAGAATTCTAAGAATAAATTTCCTGGGTCTTATAATGCTTGTCTCTTTCAGAAACTGCCAAACTATTCTGATAAGTTTGTATCATTGGTGCTATACAATTTTACATTCTGACCAGCAATTTATAGGGATTCTGGTTGCTAGCAGCTTTACCAGCATGATGTATTAGCCATTTATGTTTTCTTTGCTGAAATGTCTATTCAAATATTTAACCCAATTTTAAATTGAGTTGCTTGTGAGACTGAATATACAAAAATGGAACTTTGACCCACTGCCTGTAGTGACCTGCCCGGGAAACTATCCCCTTATCTACAGTAACCAGCCCAGGAGAGCAGTCACCTATAGGTCAAATCTGAAGTGACAACTTCTATGATAATCCAGGAAGCTACCCATTAACTTTTGTAATAATTAGCCTGAATTGGCCAGGACTTGATCAATGACTGACAGCTTCCCTAATTTTTGTCCCAGCTTCCAGTGGAGGACCCACCACAGAAAGCCAGATGCGCCTACCTAACCCATCACATGTGGTTCAGCTGCCTCCAGTTTCCTAGGCAACAGCTTCACATCAGGGCTCACTAGAGTCCCTGCGCCCCATGGCTAAGCCCTTTCCACTCTTCTGCCTGCCTTTGAATCTCTGCCAAACAAGTGACAGTAACCAACACCCTTTGCAAAGCAAGTTCTGAGCATTTATTTCAACCTTTGTCTCCTCATTATTGAGTTATAGGATTTCCTTGTACATTTTGAAGGTAAGTCATTTATCAGATATACAATGAGCAAATATTTTTCCCAGTAAGTGGTTCATCTTCATCCTCTCAATGTTTTCTTTGGAATCACAACATGTTTCATTTTAATGAAGCCATTTAACAGTTTTCCTTTACAGTTTATCTTTTTGGTATCACATCTTTAAAAAAAATCTTTGTCTAAATCTAATTGCAAATAATTCTGGTAGGTTTTTTACTTCTGACACGTAGTTCCATTATGGTGAGAGAGCGTATTACGTATTTCTGGTCTTTTAAATTTGTGAAGGTAACCCCAGAATGTGGTCTATCTTGATGAATGTTCTATGTGAGCCTGAGAAGAATGCATACTCTATTTTGTTAGATGAAGTATTCTACAGACACTAATTCAATCCAGTAGATTGATAAATTAGTGAAGCTAATCTGTGATGATTAATTTTATGTTAAAGTTGAGTCATAGTGTCCAGATATATAGTCAAACATTATTCTGGGTCTGCCAGTCAGCTTTCTGTCATGGGGACAGAATACCTAAGGAAAGATTTATTTTGGCTCACAGTTTCAGTCCACGGTCACTTGGATCCACCATTTCTGGGCCTATGGTGAGGCAGTCTATAATGGAGGGAGGACATGGTAGAGAAAAGCTGCTGACCCCATGACATTCATTACAGGGACTGGGGAACGGAGCCAGGGACAAGATGCAAGGATGTTCCTTCATGGACTACTCCCTCCAAATAGGCCTATCTCCTTAAGTTTCCACACCTTCTAACAGTACCACCAGTTGGGGACCACGCTTTCACCACATGAGCCTTTGGGGGACAAACTGTAACACTGGGTGTAAGGGTATGTTGAATGACATTAGTATTTAAATTGGTGGACTTTTAATAAATACGCTGCCCTCCACAGAGTGTCTGGGCCTCTTCCAATCAGTTGAAAGCATGAGTAGAACAAAAATTCTGACTTCCTCAGAGCAAGAGGGAATGCAGCAGCACAGACTTGGGACATGAATAACTCATGGGTCTGAGGCCTGTTGACCCACTGCGCAGATTTTGGATTTGTCGGCCTCCATAATCATGAGCCAATTCCTTAAACACCTTCCCCCCACCACCACCACACACACTGTTATTGGTTCTGTTTCCCTGGAGAACCATGACCAATACAGTGCACTTCCTGGCTGTGTCCACTACAGTTAGAGGGGTGTTAAAGTCTCCAACCATAACAGCTGATTCATCTAATTTTACTTATATTTCTGTTAGTTTTTACCTCACATATTTGGTACTCTGTGCTAGATGCATACAAGTTGGTATGTCTTCTTAGACAACTGAATCCTATTTATTCCTGAAATTTTTCTTTGTTCTGTAGTGTATCTGAAATTAATACAACCACTCTTAATTTTCTTTTGCTAGCAAGGTATATCTTTCTGCATCTCCCTCACTTCTATATGTGGTAAAATATATATAACACAAACTCTACCATTCTAACAATTTTTAAGTATATAATTCAGTGCTCTTCAGTACTTTCACAATGTTGTGCAAGTTAACACTACCATCAATTTATAGAACTTTGAGTCATCCTAAACAGAAACTCTGCACCCATTGAACACTAATCCTTTCCTCCCTCCACTGCCACTGGTAATCTCTATTCTACTTCCTTTTTTCTAAGGATTTCCCTCCAGTAGTTTCACATATGAATAGAATCATACAATAGTTGACCTTTTTTGTCTTCAAGGTTCACCCATGCTGTATCATGGATCAGAATCTCATGACTTTTAAAGGCTGAATAGTATTTGATTGTATGTATACACCACATTTTTGTTGATTTATTTATTTGTCTGTTAGTGGACACTGGTCTAGAACTATATGCTTGAGTCCTTGCTTTCAACTCCTTGAAGTATATACCCACAAATGAAAATCCTGAAACATATGGTAACTATTTTTACTTTCTGAGGAATTGCCAAATTGTTTTCCAGTGCAGTGCACCATTTAACACTTCCACTACCAATATCCAAAGATTCCAATTTCTCCATATCCTCATCCCTTGCCATTGCATATTTTGTTTTGTGTTTTAAGTACTAGCTTCCTAGTACTAGTGGGGAGCTTATCCTGTTACTTTTAATCTATTTGTATCCCTACTTTTAAGGTGGGTTACTTATGACAACATATGGTTGGGGATTGTTTATTTTTAATTCACTCTGACAGTCTTTTAATTGGTATATTTAAACCATTCTCATTTAAAGTAATTATTGCTGTAGTTAGATGAAGACCTACTTATTTTAACTGTTTATTGTCCTCATTCTTTCTTTGTGTGCTTCAGTCATTTCTGCTCTCTGCTTTTGAACATTTTATGAGTTCAATTCCTTTTCTCTATTGGTATACCAATTGTACTTTTTTAAAAATTAGTATTTGTCTTGGAATTTTCAACATACATTTAAAGCTAATCCGAGTCTATTTTTAACTAACATTATCACTTCCCAGGCAGGGCAAGTATTGTACATAACACAATCGTTTCTCACTCCTGTTACTCTTAATGTTGCTATCATTCACCTATCCATGACCTATAATCATTAAAAACATTATTATTATTATTATTTTGAGCAATCACTAAGAGTAAGAAACGATTTTCACTTTACTTTCATTTATTCCTTTACTAGCTTATTTATTATAAATGCTTCCCTTCGTGTAGAACCACGTTTCAGACTTGTATTTTATTTATTTATTTGTTTGTTTATTTATTTTTGGTACCAAGGACACTTCAACCACTGAGCCATATCCCTAGCCCATTTATTTTTTATCTTGAGACAGGGTCTCCATAGGTTTTTACAGCCTCACTAAGTTGCTAAAGCAGGCTTCAAACCTGCAATCCTCCTGCCTCAGCCTCCCAAGCCACTGAGATTACAGGTGTGCGCCACCAGGCCTGGCAGACCTATATTATTTCTCTTCTCTCTGAAGAGCTTCAATATATCCTGCAAGTCATGCCTACGGAGTCAAATTTCCTAAATTTCTTTTTATATGAGAAAGTCTTTCACTTGTGAAGGATAATTTCAATGGAGGTAAAATTCTAGATGGATAGTTTTTCTTCCTTTGAAAACCTTTAAATATTTTGCTCTATTTCTTGCTTGTATGGTTCCTATAGAGAAGTCTGATGTAATTTTCATCTGTGTTCCTCTGTAGATAAGGTGTTTTCCCTCTCTGGCTTGTTTCAAAGTTTTCTCTTTGTCTTTGGTTTTCTGCAGTTTGAAAACTATATGCGTAGGTGTAGATTTTTGTTGTTTGTTTGTTTTGTATTTATCCTCCTTGGTGTCCTCTAAGACCAATTTTTGTCACCAATTTTTGCCAATCACTAGTTCTTCTGACTTCCCATTGCATGTATGCTACATCTCTTGCAGTTGTCCCAAAGTTCTTGGGTATTCTGTTCCGTTTTGTTCATTCCTCTTTTTCAGTTCCAGAAGTTTCTGAAACTTACCTTCAAAATCACTTGACTCTTTGCTTAGCTGTGCCCAGTCCACTAACAAGTCCTTCATTACTGATTTATGTTAGAGTAGTTTTTGTTTGTTTGTTTGTACCAGGGGCACTTACCAACTGAGCCACATCCCCAGTCTTTCTTTAATTTTCAGATAGGGTCTTGCTGAGTTGCTCAGGACCTCGCTAAGTTACTGAGGCTGGCTTTGAACTTGCAATCCTCCTGCCTCAGCCTTCTAAGTCACTGGGACTACAGGTGTGTGCCACTGTACCTGGCTTGTTAGAATGTTTTTGATTTCTATCATTTCCCTGGATTCTTAATTACAGTTCCCACCTATCTGCTTCTATCACCCATTTATTTTTTGCACGTCGTCTATCTCTTCCGTATCTAAGTCTGGCTCCGTCCGATGTTTGCTTTGCCTCTTCAGACTGTAATTTTTTTGTTGAAAGTTAGATATGATATATTGGGTAAAATGAACAGGTAAATAGGCCATTAGAAAATGAGGTTTTATGTTTTATCTATCTAGAGTTAGGCTGTGATTACCATTTGGCATAGATGTAGGCGGCAGAGACAAAGTTCCCCCTCATGGTATTGCTTTTGCCTCCTGTAATGCCTGTGGATTTCCCTAAAGACTTTACCTCAGACATGCTAGAATTTACTGCTGAGCCACACCCCAGCCTCCTAGAGACTTCTTAAATAGGGTCTTAGTCTTGCAGTTCTTCCTGTTCTGATCTCTTTAGTATATAGGAGCCTAACTGATGTGGTGATCAAGTGTCAGGGAATGATAATCTATAATTCCATGGCTAGGTCAGTCTTTGTGACCTTCAGAAGTACTTGTTGTCTGTCCCTCCTCAGATAACAATAGGGAGACTGATTCATGTTGGAATTTAATCCCTAATGCCATGGTATTAAGAAGTAGGGCCTGTAAGAGGTGATTAGGCCATGAGAGCTCTGCCCTCATGGATGGGATTAGTGACTTTATAGAAGGGCAGGAGGTCAACTAGCCAGGCCCCCTTTTTGCCCTTCCCTTCTCTCCCTTCCTCCATGTGAGGACCGAGTGTTCTCTCCCTCTGCAGGGCACAGCAACAAGGTACCATATTGGAAGCTAAGACCTCACCAGACACTGGACCTGATGTCTTTATCTTGGACTTTCCAGCCAGAACTTTGGGAAATAAATTTTTGTTCTTTATAAATTACCCAGTATGAAATTTTTTTCTTTTATTTATTTTGCCCAATAAACAGAGACACCTGGCTTCCCAGTGTAGATTTAGCCAAAGCTTGGTCAGATTATGCTCTGAGCCAATGAGGCTTCCACTGTCTATTGATGGATGGAGGCCTGGGCCAGGGCACACCATCTGACCTCAGGTCACTTCCAGGTCTATCTCAGCCTTCACATCCTGTTGGGACTTCTTTCATGTCCTCTGCATACACATGTGTGTTGCTGGCTGGAGTGTGAAATGGCTGGAACCCATCTGGCCTTTGCCATGTATGTGTGTAAATGCTTTGGATCAACTTGTGACATGTGATAAGCTTACCAAGTTCCCTATTGGTGTCTCCACTTCCAAAATTCCACACTAAATCCTGAACCATTCCTCACTCCAACTAGGACAAAACTTCAGGCCAACAGGACTGCTGGCACCTCTGTTCATCTACCATATAAGATTAGCAGGGTTGGTTTTTTCCTAAGGCCATCCTCTCCTGTGTCTTCACATGGTTGATTGTGTGTGTGTGTGTGTGTGTGTGTGTGTGTGTCCCCTAATCTCTTCTTGTAGGACATCAGTCAAACTAGATTAGGGCCCATCCATATGACTTGATTTCTACTCAGTTACCTGTGTAAAGGACCTATATACAAATACAGTTACATTCTCAAGTTCTGGAGGTTAGGGCTTCAATCTATGAGGAAATGGGGGTTGTGGTACATACAGACTATTTTTTCCTAACAGAATTTTAAGGTCCTCTAAGCTTCCTTAGGAACTGCATATGTTCCATCTGGAAACACAGACCCCCTACCTGCAGTATCTGGGAAGGGCTGGTATCTGCATTACTATCGTTTGGATTTGGAATGTATTAAAGGCTTGACCCTCAACCTATGGTGCTCTTGGAAGGTGGTGGAAACCTTAAGGGAGCCAAAATAACCCTTTCTCTTCATAAATTTCCTATCCTGGGTATTTGTTACAGTAATAGAAATCTAATACAGGCACCCTGGACAACCCTGAGCATCATCAAGGAGCCCAGAAATACGCAAAGGGAGGCCTCCAGGCAGTGCTGGTAGGTGGACATGTACTGCGCTTAGGGGATCCTGAAAATGTTTAATTTATTTGAAAATCACGAGAAAGATGAATGTAACACTGAACACATAAAAATGAAATCAAGCCTGAGTTATATTCATCTTCACTTTAATGCAATCATAAATATTACTTAGTATGTTTATGAAGGAAGGGGCTATAATTTTCTTGTATATCTTTGTCTTTGGTGTGAGGGTAATACTGGCCTTAGATATGAAATGTCCTCCTCTTATTTCTTAGAAGAGTTTGAAAAGAAGTGTTAATTCTTCTTTTAAGGCTTAGTAGAACTCATGAGGTTAGTCATCTGTGGTCCTCAACTTTTCTTTGCTAAAAGATTTAAAAAAAATTTTTTTAGTTGTTTGATAGACCTTTATTTTATTTATTCATATGTAGTACTGAGAATCGAACACAGTGTTTCACACAAGTCAGACAAGTGCTCTACAGCTGAGCCACAACCCTAGTCCCTGCTAGAAGATTTTTTTAAGACTATTTTTTTAGAGAAGTTTTAAGTTTATGGCAGAGAGGAAAGTACAGAGTTTCCCACAGACTCCCCACCTCCACCCACACACAACTTTCAACATCTGCATCAATGACACATTTGTCATAACTTATGCACCCACAGCGATAAACTATTACCAAGGTCCATAGTTTACAGATAGGGTTCACTCCTGGTGCTGTACATTCTATGGGTTTGGACAAATGTATAATTCCAAGTTTTCACAGTAACAGTATTGGATAGAATGGTTTCACTGCCCTAAAATCCTCTGTGCTCTGCTTATTCTTCCCTCTCTCACTGCTAAGCCCTGGTAACCACTGATCTTTTTACTGTTTCCACAGTTTTTGCCTTTTCCACAAGTCCATAAAGGTGGAATCAAACACTGTGTCACCTTTTCAGATGGGCCTATTTATTTATTTGGTACTAGGGATTGAACCCACAAATGCCCTTCTTTTTATATTGAGGCAAGGTCTCACTAAGTTGCTGAGGCTGGGCTCAAACTTGCAATCCTCCTCAGTCTCCCAAATTGCTGGGATTACAGGAGTGCTGGCTCCTGCAATCTGCACCCCCACTAAATGAATGGCTCCATGGTTGGGCTCCAGACTGGCTTCCTTTAAATGGTAATATGCACTTAAGCTCACTTATTTTTCATCAATGAATAACATTCCATTGTCTTAATGCACCACAATGCATTATCCATTCATCTACCAACGTATTCCATTTTCTCTTGCTGTAACTAATATCGCAGACTGGATAATTTATTAAAAAAACAAATTTACTTAGGCATTTTGCATTGCTACCAGCCATGGCTGAGGATCCCCTGCAAATCCTTGACATCATTTGGTGATGTTAGAATTTCAACATTTGCCTTTCTCATAAGTGTACAGCAGTATCTCACTGTTTTATTTACAATTCTCTAATGGCCTAAAGTTGAACATATGGCTATTTGCTATCTGTATATTTTCTTTGGTGAAGTGTCTTTTCAGGTCCTTTGCTCCTTTGTAATTGGGTCATTAGTTTCACATTGTTGATTTTTATGAGTTCTTTGTATATTTTAGTTAACAGACCTGCATCAGACACAGCTTATGCAAACACTTTCTCCCAGTCTGTAGCTGTCTTCTCATTTTCTTAACAATATCTTCACAGAGAAGATGCTTTTAATTTGAAAGAATTTCAGCTTATCAATTCTTTCATGGATTTTTCCTTTTGTGTTTTACTTAAAAAGTCATTGCCATTCCCAGGGTCATGGAGATTTTCTCCTATATTACTGTCTAGGAGTTGCATAGTTATATAGTTTTGCATTTTACATGTAGGTCTGTGATCAATTTTGAGTATTTTTAAAAAGTCTTTGTTTACATTCTTTTAAAAATATATTTTGGCATATGGGTATCCGGCTGTTCCAGCACCATTTGTTCTGAAGGCTGTCTTCTCCTGTGTCAAGATCGGCTGACTAATGTGGATCTATTTCTGAGTTCTCTACTCTGTCTATTCTTTTGCCTTACCACACTGTCATGATGACTGTAGCTTTACTGTTGACCTTTGACGTCAGGTACTGTCAGTCTTCTGTTCTCCCTCAATATGGAGTTGGATGTATTCTCCACATGAACTTTAGAATCAGTTTGTCGATGTTCACAAAATGTCTTGCTATGATTTTGAATGGGATTGCATTCAATGTATAAATTGAGTTGGAAAAAAACATTGTGACAGGGCTAAGTCTTCTTATCCACATGGAATTTCTCTGCATTTATTTAGTTCTTTGATTTCTTTCATTAGTTTTCTAGTTTTCCTCATAGATTTTGTACATATTTTGTTAGATTTATACCTAAAAAAAAGTATTCATTTGTGGGGGGGAATACTAATGTAAACGGCATTGTGTTTTTAACACCAAGTTCCACTGATTCATTAACTGGTATATAAAAAAGCAACTCATTTTTGTATCTTAACCTTGTACCCTATAATCTTGCTATAAACACTTATTCTATATTTTTACTGATATTCAGATTTTCTACATAATGTCATCTCCAAAGACAGTTTTATTTCTTCCTTCTCAACCTATATACCACCCTTCCATCTCTCCCTTTCACTTCCTTTATTTTTTTCTTATTGCCTTGTTACAACTTTTGGTACAATGTTGAAAAGTGAAAAGTGTTAACAGGGGATACCCCTGTCTTGTTCTATCTTAGCAGGCAAAGTTTGTCTCTCACAATTAATTATGATGTTAGCTATCTGGTTTTTGTAGATGTTCTTTATAAAACTGGAAAAGTTCCCCTCTATTCCTATTTTACCAAGATGGTGTGATTTTTGTTGTTTAAATCAAGAATGGGGGTTGGGTTTTGTTAAATGCTTTGTTTGTATTTATTGAATCTATTCATATTTTCTTCTTTAGCTTGTTTATGTGATCAACTGAATTAAGTGACTTTCCACTTCCAAACCAAACTTGAACACCTGGGATAAAAGTTCCTTGGTCATGGTGTATTAATATTTTTTTGTTGATGATTTTTGGACTCAGTTTGCAAATGTTCTGCTGATAATTTTTGCATCTCTATTCACAAGAAATACTGGTATGTTTTCTTCTCTTTTCAAATCTTTGTCTGTTTTTGGTATTGGGATAATGCTTACCTTTCCTTCTGCTTCTATCTTCTGGATGAGTCTGTAGTGCACTGGGGTAATATCTTCCTTAAAATGTTTGATATAATTTACCAGTGAACCCATCTGGGCGTAGTTCTTAATGCTTTGAAGGTTATTAACTCTTGATTTAATTTCTTTAATAGATATAGGCTTATGCAGATTGCCAATTTCTTCTTGTGTGAATCTTGGCAGATTATTTCAAGAAATGAGTTCATTTTATTAAGTTATCAAATTTGTGGGCATAAGTTGTCCATTTTATTTTTTTAGAGAGAGAATTTTTAAAAAATATTTATTTTTAGTTTTTGGTGGACACAACATCTTTATTTTATTTTTATGTGGTGCTGAGGACCGAACCCAGCGCCTCGCGCATACCAGGCGAGCACATTACCACTTGAGCCACATCCCCAGCCCAGTTGTTCATAATATTATATTGTCCTTTTAATGTCCACATAATCTGCAGTAATGTCTCCCTCCTTCATTTCTAATACTGGTACTTTGTATTTTCTTTTTGTCTTAAGTAGTTATTAGACATTTGCCTTTTTTTCTTTTTAATCTTTTCAAAGAACTAGCTGGTTAATTTCCTATTTCCAATGACATGCATCCAATACTATAAATTTCTCTCTAAGCACTGCTTTAGCTACATCCCACAAAATTTGATAATCTGCATTTTCATCATTTAGTTCAAAGTATTTAAAAATTTCTCTTGAGATTTCTTTTTTAAGCATATGCTACATTTAAAGATTTATTTTAAAAATATTTATTTTCTAGTTTTTGGTGGACAT